AGTTCATGTCCTTGTTCTTATTCAGATTGTTTTGAGCTGGTTGATCTGCTTTTAAAAATTTATAAAATGTAAAATTACTTGATAAGAGCGAAAATGATGAGGCTTTCTGTCCGGCAGTGACATCACTTCCTGTGTGAATGAGGCATCACCAAAAACACCAATAAATAAAGAATCTTTTTTGCAAAATAGAAACAGAAAGTTTCTAGATGTGAAAAGTTGGTGAAAATGAACTTCAAAAGATTTGGAGGGAAAATGTGATCAACCATTGATTCATTTGTTTAAACTGGAAAGTTTTTTGCTGGCAGCTTAAATTTCCATCAAAATCATCAGAAGAGCGCCGACGTTGGAACGAGTCGGTTTCCACTTATTGGCTGCAATTAAATGAAAAAGCTGTTTAAGGTTAAAGAGAAAAAAGAGGAGATAAACCTGCTGGTTGTTTTCTATCTGTAACTATCGAGTCTTTTTCTGGTTGGAAATTCAATCCAGAGGAAATCAGGAGCAGGTCAGGAGTTTACACAGCATCAGAATAATAATGAAATATTTTATCATTTAAATTACATTTCTGCCACAGAGGAATGTTTGGGTGTGGAAATTTAGAGAAGTGACACCAAGCGAGCCGTGCAGGTAAAACGAATTTACTATTAAAAAATAGACATCATGATTTCACGGCGAGAGAAAGAACGATCTGAGGTTTAATTTGGGTGGAAAATCTGTGATATGACTTGGAGAAGAAACAGGATTGTTGTGTTGATTGCATCTGGACAGAGATGAGTTTTTACAGACGCTAACGGCCTCCTGCAGGGCGTGACTGCGATTCTCCCAGGACGAGTTCAGCAGAGAAGATCATCCCACAGGAAAGGCGAGAAGGCCCCGATTACAGATGACAGAACATTTTTACCTGCTGCTGCTGCAGAGCGAAGCTCGTCTGTTTATAACCAAACCTTCATCCTGACGACATGCAGAGGGAGAACCTGCACATGAAGAGCCGTTACTGTGTTTATGTTGCATTTATAGACTTTAAGGCTCAACAAATTATGATAAATGGAGAATTAACATAAACGTTTGTTTTCGCATAGCATCTGTTTAATCATGTCTCAGTTTTATGTCAGTTCCCACAGACTGCAGAGCTTCCAGTTCAGCATAAATCCAGTAAAATTACTGTTTTATCTTTCGCTAATTTAACTTTAGCATTAAATCCATTTTAGTTTAAATCTCTCTCATTTTGGAATTATTATTATTATTTTAGCACAGACTAAATTTGTGTTTTAGCTGAAGTTCCACGTTAGCGTAGCTTCTTGTCAGAGATCCCTGCTTGTACTGAAGGCCGATTGAGTCCAGAATGACCCAAACTAAAAAACACCACGTCCCATTCATCTGACTCACATATGTAGAAATAAATAGTTTAATTTGTAAAACCAAGCATCTGCCTGCGTTTTGTCACTCGGAAAGCCAGCGGCTCCCCGGTGTTTGCATCAGAGCAGCACTCAGGCCGCTGCTGCAGCCTCTCTGAGCTTCCCAGAGGAAATCAGCGTTCAGGTCTCCATTTCCTGCGGCACTCAGAGCCTCTCCACCTATCGGCGTCGCTCCTTCCTGAGCTCTTCGGCAGCGCCGAAGCACCCATCAGTCTGCGAGTGGCCGCCTGCTGAGCGGCTCTGATGTGAAATATGGAGATGGTGTGAGTGCACTTCCTGCCATAATGCACTGAGATAAGTGAGCAGATATGAGATCATGAAGCGCTGAAGTTTAAAGCAGGTTGGGAACATTTTGTTCCAAAGCACCAGTCACATCAAGTTGTTTGACTGTTTTTAAGCTGGAAACTTTTACATCTATTTGACCTTAAACAAGATTCAGCTTCTCCAACTGGACCTGCAGGATCATTTCTGGATCTGACATGAAAGAAACTAGAAATGTAGTTTGGTGATTAATGGTGGCGGCTTTTGTTCATGTTCTTTAGTTGAGGCATAGCTTGATTAGACTCGGACTGAAGCTATTTTAGCCATTGATGGATTGGATAAAGAAAATGAATCCGATTGGTCATTTCATTCCAATCAACGTGTATCCATGGCAACACATTGATTGGTTTTGCAGCTGATCAGCGTCTGAAAAGCTGAAATAAACCCCAGAGGAGCTGAAAAAGAGGCAAAGCAGAGCAGCACCAATGAGACTTAAAGAGGAGCGGCAAAAGCAAAGGAGGTGATTAGCAGAGCACTCAGAAAAACGCAAGACAAACATAATCATGTTTCCAGGACAACAGCTGACTGTTATGTCTAGCAGAAAGTTTGGTGGAGGGAAGATTATGGGGCGAGGCAGGGCTTTTTTTTATAAGTTTAGTTTAGTTCAAGTGAAAGGAATCCAAGACGTTTTGGACAATTTCAAACAACAACAGAGTTTGTAGTTGGGACTTTTTTGTTGCAACACCAGGAAGCTGCAGTGAGCAGAGCGAGGTCTCTGGAGGTCAGTCATCCTGGTCCTCCAGAGCCGCCGACCTGCAGCTCTCACTGACCTCCCAGGTTCCACACGCTTTGATCAAACCTCTGCCAACGACCTCGTACTCTGACTCAGGTGAGTTGAAGCAGGGACACGTTTCATTTTGCAATTATTAATAAGTTATTGCTGTGATAGATTAGCTATTAGCTAAGCTAACACAGTGGGGGGTTTTCTTAAAACTTTTTCCTGACCTTGTTATCAAGGTATTATAGTGTTGACAATTAGTAGAAAGCTTTTCCTTTTATACATCATGATTATGTTTAAGATTGTTATGTTGACAACTAGACAGCTAACGCTAATGCTAGTCATCGTTGGCAAACAGGAATATGGGGCAGGACATTGAACGTATTATGTCATGGTGCAACACGTCTATAAACTCATGTAAGGCTGAAATTGGGATGAATTAGAGATTAGCTTTTGAGCCTGGTCTTCTCATCCAACATCAGTGTGTGACCTCAGAAATGCTCTCCTTAAAGAAGGACCTCAAAAACTCAGAAATGCAGGACTGAACAGTTGAAACCATCTGATTTCTCCTCTCAGCTATAAAACAACAAACTGAGAGCAGTCCGAGATCTCACCAACTTCATGAGTTTCCAGAACCAGCAGAACTTCCCTGCAACACAACGTCCTTCAGGACGTAAACACTGAGCGCTTTAAATGCAGCTCAGGTTCACCTCTACAAATAAAATCTGTTGTTGCTACACAAAGAATTTATTATCTTTGTCTCTGTGGATTTCGCAGTGCAGCGAATATTTTTCATTCCTGGAACAATCAGGCGTCGTGAGGAGAAAATAACCCCAGAATCAATATCTGCTCATTGGATCCAACGAAAGCATCCACTGGCAGGCAGGAATGAAAAGGGATTTCATCTGAACTAATAGATTTACGTCTCTATACATGCTGTACATTCCTGCTGCCGCTCTCGGCTCATTTCATCAACAGCTATTGTGTCGAGGTGTGAATCCTGGGCTACATGTGTAGCTCTGCTTCCATTTGTGTCGAACGTTAGCAGAGAACGCGCCGCCGCCATCCGCCGCCATCGCTCACATTCCTGATTATGGAAACGGAAAAAAATAAGGATATGATGCGAGCTATCAGTGAGCGAATCAATCACTTCTCCTGTCCCTACGTGCTTCTGAGTTTTCATTATGAAACATCAGCGAGTCATTTTCCAGCTGAGTGCTGTGAGGCAGCCTCTAATTCCCTAAACTCCAACTGAGTCAATATTGCATCTGAAGTGCGGCTGAACATATGCTCTGCTGCCGGAGACAAGAGTTTAGCTGCAACTCTTTGTCATCATTTCCAAGCCTCTATCTATTTATCTCAACACGCATCATTAGTCCAAACAGGAAGTTATTGGTGCCTCGACATCTGTTCAGCTGAAGCTGGAACTGGAATAAATTCAGACGAGATTTCTGGGGAGAACAGCCACAGTTTTTAGTTAGAAAGAGTAAAAATAACAGCAATAATTTGGGTTCGTTAGATCAGAGAAAATATGGGTTCATCTTTCACCAACTGATTCATTTTTTTAACTGCTACAGTTTGAAACTAAATATTTAGTTAGTTTAAAGCTTAGAGCTAAATATTTAGTTAGCCAAAGATTTAGTTAAACCAACTAAATATGTATTTAACCAACTAACAATTTAGCTCCAAGTTCTAGTTACCAAGCTGAATATTTAGTTAATTATTTAGTTGGACTAAATACTTAGCAACGCCTCCAGACAAGGATGTTAGAAAATGGATGGATAAATACTTGGCAAGCTAAATGTTTAGCTAACAAACTAAATATTTACACTGAATCTAAATAATCAGTTTTCAGGTCAAATATTTAGTTTGAATCAAAATATTTAGCTAAAGCTCAAAACTAAATATTTAGTTTAGCTTGCTCGCTATTAATGCTAATAGTGTATTTATCTTGCTAATTAAATATTTAGGTTGAAGCTAAGTGTTTAGTTAGCTAACACGCTAAATATTCAGTGGAAATACATTTATATTTGCTAAATATTTATATTTATTGGTAAATTTAATTAATACATTTATTTAGTCAGTATTTAGTTTACCAATAAAAGGGTGTGCTTTCCTTCTAAATATTTACTTAGCATATTTACCTGAATATTTAGTTTTGCAACTAAATATTTTAGTGATATATTTAGGAGCAAAGATCAGGAAAGTGGGAGGAAAATGGGAAAAGATGGAGGAACCAGAGGAGAATCACGCAGTAAAGAGGAGGAAATGATGCGAGAAGCAGAAGAGCTAATCACAGGCGAGGAGCTGCAGCCGGTGGAAATGTGTGTTTTCTTTACAAAATACAAAATTAACCTAAACATTTCTGAGTTTCTTAAAGCAAATTTTCAACAATTGTAACTCAGAAATTTCCTTGTTTTTATTTTTTTTTTAAGATTTTGAGTTTTCTGGATAAAAATCTAAATCTAAAACACTGTACTGGTTGTGCTGGGTTTTTTTTTTTAAATGCATATTTTTGAGTCTGTAAACTAAAATTAACAATCAATTGGTAAATCAGTTGACATTTATTTCAATAATTGATTAATCATTGATTAATTAATTAATCCATTTCATTAAACCAATATGGATTAGAAGCACATCAAACTGCTATCATTGTTTTTCTTGGAAATCATGCAGTTGTTTTGTCCCTAAAATTATCTCCATTCATGCATTCATGAAAGTAAAAGCAATTAAATGAAATCTCGTTTCAGTTTTTCCCATCTGCTTCTCTTTTTCCTGCTTTTTGTGGATTTTTCATATTTATTTGTCGCGACTTCAGAAACAAGTAGGTCACATTGAGACGAACGTCTGGATCACGTTTCCTCGGGGAAAATGTGGAGACGTTTCTTACGAGAATCTGATCTGTCTGCCAGACTCAGCAGAATAAACTCTGAGTATTCATGAGGGAGAAGAAATGCCGGAGTTTAGACATCACAGCCGAATTCCTGCGGGTCCGACACCTGAAGGCCGACGTTATCCACCCAGACAGACTTCAGAAGGAGACACAAACCTGGGCTTCCAGGTAGACGAGGAGCTGGAATCGCT